ATGTTGCTGTTGCTGTTGCAAATCAAGCGAATGTTGTGAAGCCTGAGTCTCGTGGGATGCTGGAGGCGTGGGATAGCCTAAACCAGGGAATCACAAGGATAACGCAAGGGCGATGGTGGTGAACCAGTGTACATTAGGTATCTGCAATTATTTAAATAAAATTACAATGTTTTATAAAGAATATATGTACCAACACTTAGAAATGCTAATACGCATCAGTGATGAGTCGGATCGATGATCGAGAAGAATTTTCAACTTACTCTTTTTGGTAAGCCGCAAGATCTTTCGGCGAATGTGGAGGATCTTGATAAGCTCCTAATTCTGCGAGCCCTTCTGGAAGTGGTGAATCCAGTACAGCCCTTAGTTCTCTTGTCACAGGTGCGAATAAAGACCCAGTGGTCCCACAACCGGAGCTCGCTGAAAAACCTAAAATGGAAATGATAATAAACAAAAGTAGATTTTTTATACTATTCTTTTTATACTGAAACTATTTTATTACCTTCAGGGCTTTGGACATCGAGATCAGCAGAAACTGCAGCATAATCTTCTAAACTCGCTATATCTTGTAAGGTCTCCTGCTCTTCGGAATCTGTTTCCTGCTGCAATAACTGAATGGAATTCACCGCCTAAGTTAATAATATTTATTTAAAGTATTAAGATGAAAATTTACTAATTTTTTATCTTATTGAAGTTGATGAAGAGTAATAATAAAAAAAATGAATGAAGACTTAATATTGCAAAAATACTGATAATATATGTGATAGAACAGCACTTTGTCAGATTATTGTTGAATAATCTGACAAACTGTTATTAAAGTTTGATAACAAAAGGAATTTTTACACTAAAATCTGCACGCATTTTGTTATAAATATTTTTCTTAACTCTGCATAAAAGTTTAATATTGGTTTTTGTTCATATTTATGTATTTTTGATAAATGACCATAAAAATAGTAAATATTTGCTTAATATTATCTTTGTGAAAAAATAGTAATAGTTTTATTAATATCTTTTCTAAACAATTTTTTTTTTCAAAAATTCTAATTACCTGAAGTAGCATCGCAGTATCTTGGACATATACCTCATCACCAGCGGTGTAAAAAGTATTAGTACTTCCAGTGGTTGGATTTTGATAGGCTAATGTAAATACTTCTCCTGCTGTAACATTGGCAGTTGTTGTATTTGTTTGCTGCAGATTAAGTTGGACGGAAGCTGATGCACCAGAGTCTGACAGAGATCTTTTTACTTGGAGCTGTCGAATATTCAGACAAAATAATAAAATAATTGATAAAAAGTTACTATAACCTGTTAAATTGATGAACTAACCTTGGTTCCTCGTTTGAGGAGTTCTATAAGTGTGGCGTCCTTTCCATTGTTTGTTGTCGTAGTGGTAGGTTCAGTGTATTGCGCCTCTCCTTCTGAACTTCTTCTTGGAGGAGTCGCAGGTACAGCAAAATCACTGCTGCGATTTATTATCTGTTGAACCTGCTGACGGGCAACCTGCTGCACCTTAAAAAAATACTTTAATTAATCACAAGAGATTCAGTTAAAATATTATCTTAGTAGAACATAATTTCGCTAACGCTTGATTAAATTTCTTACAAAAACACAAAATATCTGGATTCAGCATTTAAATAGTTAGCAAGCCAATGGCAAAGCTTTATTTTATTTTTTTAAGTGTTTCGACTGCACACTTAAAACTTGTTACTCTATGTTAATTAACATTGAAGTACCAGATATTACAATTAAAAATGTTAAATAATAATTAAATGATTGGAGAATTAAAACCTTTATTACCTGAGGTGTTGTAGATGTGGGTGTTGTAACAGTACTGCGCTGTTGTCTGCTTATAATTTTTTCTTCTATCAGAGCACGAACACTTTGACTTGCAGTTTGTAATGGAGGCAATGCTGATTCTTTTTTATCGGGTTTTTTGTTATCAGAATCCTAAATCAATACTTAAATTAATAACATACAATGTAAAACTAATAACTGTAAACATATAATTGTGCTAACTAAATTTTTGTATATATTTATGATGTATCAACGAATGGATATCATAAAAACGTTGTTAATTGATTTGACAGGTAAAGCACTAGTATATTTTAAATTGAAGTAGTTTTAAGATACTGCCAAGATAGATATTGATGGTATCAACTCTTCTATTGCTGCCGAGATAGATATTGATGGTATCAACTCTTCTATTATCGATATGATTACCTTTTTGAAATAACCTCCATGCAATCTCATATGTCCGTTGAGAGCTGGTATATTTTTAAACTTCCGATGACATAAATTGCATTCAACCGGTTTCGGTTCTAACTGATCAACAGTTCCTGATTTATTAGCATCAGAAACACTGCTATGAACGCTGTTGCCATTGCTGCCGTTGGATATTTTCACTGTTGCTATGTTGGTACTTGTGACGGCGGTTGTTGATGTCACATTATTTGTTTTTTTCTGTGATTGCTGCAATTGTGTCTGGAACAAAGACACAGAATGTATATTTGTTTATTGTAAAATGATATAAAAAGATCAAAATTTATGCAGGAATGTGTTTAAATAATAACATTAATAAGATAGTTGCAGTTATGCTCATAGATGATTTGTTTTGTCTGCTATACAAGTATTGCAAAGATTGTTTGCAAATATTTTTAGTACCAGAATGGTATTGATTTTAAAGACGATTCAACCAAGAAAAAGCATCAGAATAAGTTTGTTCAAACATTGCATTTATGAGACCATTTTTTTATGTTTTCTGAACTGTAATCAGATTTGACTTATTACTACGTCGGTTCCAGAGATAGCAATCTTAGTTGTCTCATCTCTGTGTGATAAATTTTATTATTACAAATTCGGTAATAGGGCAAATATTTATTGACGCAGGAATGGAGGCTGAAGGCTATTTTCTCTTAAAAAATATTGCAATCTATACTTTCAAGTAAGAACCGATGCCACTACTACTTGACATCAGGCTGTTCGCAACGTGTATCGAACCAGGGATCTCTGATTCAGATCAGAGGATTGGATTATTACCTACAAGCGAGCTCAAGAGACAATTTGAAAGTATTTATTTTATACACACTTAAATTAGTTGAACGAACTTTACTGAGCAGGATTTAATATATTCTCTGTGATTTTCTCCATATAAATTAGCAACAAATAGTGAGCGCAAAAATCATAGGTCTCTCCCTAAATATTTCGGTACAAATCTTCGCTATTAGCTATCAATAATAAAAGAATATCATATATATCTTCAATTTAACAAAAATTGATATTCTGTTATTTAATAAAGTATGGTTGTTTTAATACATTCATAGAAATTAGATGGATTGACATAATAAATGAGTAAGTTTACCTAATAAAAATTTCAATTATTTTTTGAAATGGTTAATTTCAGAATAAAAACATGTCCGTAGTTTTTACCCCACCTGCATATTCCACGTTCTTGGAGGTTTGTTGTTTCTATTAATATTTTGCTGCTGTAATGACTGCTGCTTTGTCTGCTGCATAATTTGGCTTATAAGTTCTAATTGCTGCGTTGTTAAACCTAAATAAATAAATAATTAATAATTGAGATACAAAAATGAACAAATTACTAACTTTTAGTGCTAAATTTTATCAATGTGGGTTTTTTATACAATGAATCAATAATTTATAGTCTATTTGTATAAATAACTTTAACAGCTTATAAATTATAGTCAAATTATATTAAAATAGTTATACCATTAAATTAACATATAATTACATATTAAAATAACATATAAAAAATTAAAAAATAAACTATCAAAAATTTTAATCATATAATACTTTCTAAATTATTTCCATTGTTTAAAACTCTCACCTTCATTGCCTGCGCCAGCACTAATTGCTGTCGAGCTTGTGGAATTACTACGTGAATGTGTATGATTTGTGCTGCTGCGGTGGCTTACTGTTGCTGTCCGATGACCAGACTGAGTTGGAGAAGCCACGTACTGGATGCAAGAAGAACCATGAGGTGATGATGCATCACCTAAAAATAAAAAAAAGTTTACTTTAACAATTACAAAAAAATTATAAAAAACTAGCAAACCCGACGAACTTCGTTTCGCCACCAGATGGTTTCGTGAGAAAGATGAAAAATTTTTTTTGTTTGTTTTATATTTGAGAAGGAAAAAATTTGATTTTATTATACAACAGTAATGAATTTATTTCGATTACAAAAATGAAGTGTTTTTTTAGTAGAACTTCTCCAAGTAAATGCAAGTGAATCCACAAATTATCCGTTTCATTGAAGTGCTCTTTGGTAAACCACATTTTTTGTTTTTTAGTCTGACGTTAACACAAACAAAGCGGATGGTTTTCCAACTCGTGAACAGGCAACGTATAACTGCCCATGTGAAAAACAATGATTTTCTAATTAATCTATTTGAAATTTATCCCGCAAACACTAAGCGATTGGCCTTGCGACTTGTTATTGAAAACGTAAGGCAAACTGGAATCTGCAATCGTTTGAAGTCAAACGGAAGACCAGTCGGAATCATTGGTATGTCACCAAATCGTCAGAAATTTTTGATTGAATGATGAAATTCAGTGCATGTGCATCATTATTCTTTGCGGCAAGAATTGCTCGTTGACTTAACCAAGCATAATTCTGATAATTCTTACTAATGTCATTACTCGAATTTTTAATTACGGTGCGTGAAGTTCCAAAAGCTTGCATTAAGGCACGATGCCATGCACAACTAATTTTCTTAGCTATAAACCTTGCGGAGCCCGAGACCTTTTCAACGAATGCAAAATTGTCGAAATCGGTTTGTGCGTTCTGGAGTTATATCGTCAGGAAGGAAAACCCGACTTATTTTTATATATATAATAGAAGATAATAATCCAATATTTAATAAGGAATATAACCATTGACCAAAAATAAAACTTTTTTTTTGTTTACAATAGCAATTATGTAAAGTCCTATTACTGACAAACCAAGAAGCATCAGTGATCAGTCTTGGAATTCAACTTTAAAAGCAGGTAATAATATAGAAAAATTGTAGTAAAGAAATAGAAGATTTTGAAAATGTAAACACAGGTAACTGCTGATAGATAAAATAGGTGAAGCAGCTTGCTTACACATAAGAATATATTATTATTCTTATTACCTGATGCTGTGGATGGGGATAATGAGCTCGCGGCGGAAGGCGATCCCGCCGCGGTCTCGGCATTGGAAGCACTATTGTTATTATTGCTGCTGCTGGTGTTGCTGCCGCTAACCGCACTCTGGTTTCCACTTGAACCATCTGTTGCCGTTGAGGAACCATGATGGTTCTCGCGATGACGCCGCAAGGACCGTGCATCGCAGTAGGATTTGCCGCAACCTTCAGCCTTACATTCATAGGGTTTCTTGTTCCGGTGCGTTAACATATGACCATTTCTTTAAAAAAAATAAAAAGAATTTGAATTAATATTCATAGTTGAAAGTAAGCTACCAATGATTAGTAAATACTATGTATTAGTAATTTAATAAGTAACTTATTTTTGGGTAATTTTTAAAGATGACAGTACTTACAGATGGTCTTGTCTTTTGAATGCTTTAGCGCACATAGTACAAACGTATTTGCGTTCATCACTATGTGTCAGTTTGTGCTTTGCCAGAGCAGAAGCGTTTCCAAAAACTTTGCTGCACATCTGCAAGAAAAAATAATAATTTCAGTTTTTTATATGACGTGGTAATTCGCACAGTGGACATTACAAACCCCTTTTTGGGGCGCAAACGTTCCACACAACGAGACTTTGATTGACACAACGTACTGAACCGTTGTCTAGTGAAAAAATATTGCCAAAATTAGTTTAGAGCTCAAATTTTTGCTCGCTGTGATAAAAATATACTTGATGGAGAAAGAGTTCACACTTAACAATCTATTTACTGTATAATTCACATTCACACACCAAAAGTCTTAAGAAAATTTTGGAAGAAGATAATTAAAAACCGAGAAAGAAAAACCACATCCGAAAATTTTTAGTGCCTTCTTCGAGTAGTTTTTGGTCAAATGGAGAGAACAGCAAGAATTCATAAATATTCTCTTTTAAAAGATGACTGAGGCTAAGATGATCAGCAATTTGTGCAATGACAAGCTTGTTTTTAATTTTCGGCTGGTACCAGAAATCAGACTAAAACAACTATTGATAGTTTCCTTGAAATCAGGAGCTAACGGGTAAAAAAACGATCAATACCACTCTTGTGAATTTCTATTTTGTACTAGCAAAAAAACAAGTCATTTTTAGGTTCTTATTTGTTTATTCGGAATTTTTACCATTTTACAATACTGAATAATGACGCTAAATTTTGATGAAACGTGCCAACACACTTAACTTATTTTTAAAGAAAGGCCTCTCAAAGTCGACCGATTTTAACATTTTTAGATATATAGTTTAACAAAAAGTCTTAATTCTTGAAAACTTGAAGCAATTGTGGTATTTTTGGACTGTGATCCTAAAAATGTTATTCACGGTTACGGTTCTAAAGTTTAAATGAACATAATTAGTGAAAATTAACTACAATAATAAAAAAATGGTGATAATTTCACCAAAGCTTTAGGTTAGGTGGCAAACGTGAGATAATTTTTATAGTTAAGATAAATACTATCACTCCGTTTCAATTTGACGACAACTGGGTCACCCTTTATGTATTTATGTTTATATATCAGAAAATATTATATTTAGCTGTTAGTATTGTATTATCATCTACATCCAATAGTATATAATTGAAAGGACCATTTATGTTCATGTAAATCGATCTGATCTTGAAGGATTGATAATTTCATTCTGAATACTTGCATATTGATAGTAAAAACTGTTTTGCAGTTTATATAACTATGACTATAAATCCTTAAGAACCGATTCTGAACACAAATGTTATGGTAGAGCCATGTTACGCTCCAACTTCCATACATCATGCTACTAAATCATACTGAATACTATCAAAATGTGATGTATTTGCTGCTCATTCATGCGTTTTACACATAAACTGCAACGTCACTCGTATGTTATAAAGCCGAGTCAGAAAGAGCCTGTTATCTAACATCGTTTTTTTGACATTTGTGCGGTTTAACATTTGTGATAATTGTATGGAAAGTTCATAACATATCCTTGCCATAACATTGTTCTGTTATGCGGCAGAATCGGTTCCTTATTGTATTAAAAACTATGACTACAAATATGAAATATTATGAAAAAGTATGAAAGCAAGAATCGTATATAAATTAAATACATTTTTTGAGTGTAATAAAATTATAATGTTGATGTAAAATTAATCTAATATTTCAAACCTGGCACTGTTGCGGTCCCTGCCTCGTCGGCGAGGCAGCCTTCGGCCTCGGCCTCTTCGCCGCCTGAATTCGAGCCGTCTCCGTCGTAGTTGTTGTGGTTGCTACCGGTTCCGCCGTGCTACTTGCTGTAATTGAAAATAATCATCCAATTCATCAAAATTTATTTCAATTAGTATCACAGTTGAATAATAATTATTAATTCAATTACACGACGTGTCCTTTCAGTAGCAATTCCTTTGTAGATACAAGCAAAGATCTAAGGATAGCGATCCGTTTCGAATTTGAATGCTACCTTGGTACTGCAATAGTGTTATTCACTTTGTAATTCTAGAAAATGCTTTGATGGTCTTAATGATAAACCTTGGTAGAACATTTTAATTGGTCTTGTAGTTGGAGGAAATTACTTACTACAACTCTTTTATTTTAGTGCACGTTTTACAATGAATAATTTAAAATGATGTATTTTTAAGTAATTGAAATAAGTACTTTCAATTCAGGTGATATGGTTTCTTATCTTATATATAAAAATGAATCGCAAAATGTGTTGGTAATAAGCGCATAACTCAACAACGCCTGGACCAATTTGGCCAATTCTTTCTTTAAAATGTTCATTCAAGTGCAAGGATGGTTCTTACAGCGAGAAAAAATCGAATCATTGCCGGGAAAACCCTAAAAATAGCCCTTTTTATTTTCACATATATATGTTTTTTAACGTAGAATCAATTTGAGCTTCAATTTTTTATAATGTGTAAATAAATAAGGTAAATTAGCGAATTTAAAAAGGTAAACTGGTGGACAGGTAAATTGGAGGATGCATAAAATGGTAGAAAGGAGAACTGGTAGATAGACGAATATGTAGACAAATAAACAGGTTGACAGGATAATTGGTCGGCATGTAGAACGGGATGACAGATAAATTGGAAAGCAGGTAAATTGGTTGGCAGGTAAAATGGTGTATTGATAAACAGGTCGATAGGTAAATTGGTAGACAGGTAAATTGTCCGTTTTTTATAATAATTTATGAAATAAAATAATTCAATTGAGTATTTAGAAAGACATCGAAGACAAATATCCATAAAATTTCACAATAGACAGATACGTGGATTATTTTAATTCATATACTATAATATTTCTAATAAATAGACTTTGCATCAGTACAAATACATGAATGCATTTATTTTAGTATCACAACGCTTGATTAATATACATAAGAATGCAATAAAAATGTAATTAAGCAATAAACTTGTGATAAAAGGTAACAATTTAAAATCATAAATAAATGCCAATGCATAATAAATCTATAAATAAAATATTGAATAAAATTATTAGAAAATAGAAATACTGAATTCGTACTCTTTAGGTACGCTTTAAAAATTCCAAAATTGTAAGTAACTGGAGTATATTGGTTCATTCATAATTCAGTCTAATTATAAGCGATATATGTAGGCTAACCAGGAAATACTTTGATGAATTTTTATTTGCTTAATTAAATGTTAAATTATTCGTTTTGCATATAAAATTATTCGCTACAAGACAGTCCGCCAAAAATTTCCTCATAAATGAAATAAAAAAAAATCTGTTGCCAAATACAGAAAAATGGGTTTGGTTCAAGTTCCTATATAATGATTCAGCTATTACTGTACCTTGTTCAGGCTCAGCAGGACTGCCGAGGATGGCCAATTCCTGATCAGGACATGCCTCTAAGATGCCAAAAGAAGCAGTGCCGCCACCTTCTGCATCAACAACACCTGTGTTGGTCACAAGACAAAGTATAAAAAATATAACAAAACTAAACACCAAATGAACTTCTTTATCTAGTATGAATTGCCTATTTCAAGTTTTGATTAACAAATTATATAATAAATTATATCACTAATTTTAATTTTTGACCAAAACGATGTTTATTTCACGATTGGTTGAATTAAATTAAAAAATAATTTTTCTTTCACATGTATCATTAATACTTTTTAATTTATCTTGTTTCGATGATGATTTGATCGAAATTGTAATTATTGTATTTAGGGGCCAGTTGTCGAATAAAATAGGCATGCTAAAGTAATGCTTTGATACCGGTCTATAATCGTACAAGGTGGTAATTACAAACTACCAAAAAGATGTGCGATCAGGCGTTTTAGACATAAAATCTAATCTCCAAAACCCACATCGAGCTTCCCGACAAACGCAAGAACATATCAATAAACTACAAATGTGGCTTGCCGAATTGAAGGTTTGCATAAATGAAACCAAATCAGCTCATATCACATTTACGCTGAGAGAGGGTACGTGTCCTCCAATTTATTTAAATAATGTCCAGATTCCGAAACAGAACATAGTGAAATATCTTGGTCTCCATTTAGACAGCAGACTTACTTGGAAAAGCCACATAAAAACAAAAAAAAAAAAACAACAAATAATGATCAAAATGAAAGAATTTGATTGGCTACTGCGTAAAAAGTCTAAGCTCTCTGTTGAAAATAAGTTGCTGCTATATAAATCAATTATTAAACCAATTTGGACCTACGGAATTGAGCTCTGGGGATGTGCTTACAAATCAAATATAGCTATAATGCAGAGAACTCAGTCAAAAAATTTAAGTACAATTCTTAATTCAAAGTTCAAATAATTCAAGAAAAAATACAAACGCAAACTGGACTCACATTCGAACCCATCAATAGTTGACATTACTCAACCTTTTGGCATAAGGAGATTGAAACGACAATGGCTTTTAAACTTAGTCTTAGATTAGGTCTAATATACTATTATCATATTAATTGTAAAACTGAGATCTCATTGGAGTTCTTCTTAGGCATCGCTCTTAAATATTGTTATTTTAGCTCATAGGAATCTTTATGTATTTCTGATTGCTAAATAAAACAGAGTTAAAAAAAACACACACACAATTGTCAAACAACAATTTTATCATAAGTGCATCTAATCTAATATAATCTTTCTGATGTCTTTTTGAAAACATGAAGTAAAGTTTTATGCGTAAAACGTCTGATCACACAACAAATACAGTTAGTTTGTGACTACCAACTTATACGATTATAGATCCGTAACGTAGTATTGCTATAACATACTTATTTTATTCCAGAATTGATCTAGTCCATAAGATATAAAAATATCTTTAAAATATAAATATTCTTGCAAACATCCTTAATGCATTTTTTTCAGTCAATTTTACAGTTGATTAAATATTCTAAATGAGACTATTATTTTGCGTACCGGCTGCGTGCAGTGTGCCCAGCATGTCCGCCAGGAGGTCGGCATCCGAGTCATCTTGCAAGCGGGCCAAGACACCTCCGAAACCAAGGGCTGCGGCGTCCGCTGGACCTTCGGCCTCCCGCAGTTGCAATGTTACGGAACCCTCTGCGCCCATGGCCGCTGAACACATTAGGACAGCCGCCCTTGGCGCGGGGAA